TTCTTCTTATGACAAACAGGATAATAGAAGATTGTTTTTGCTTATGCCCTAAACATGTTTGTCTAATAAGATAGAGTTAAAGGAAAACTGGTATGTAATTAAAAGATCTTAAATAATGACCTGTCAAATGACAAATCTAGTTCTTGTTAAGACAAAGTGGACCACAGCTAAAGGAATCAGCAGTATGAAAACAACTACGATGGTACATAAACATTTAAGAGAGTCCAAAACAAAATTTTTAAAAGAAATAAGAAACAGTAAAGGAGTCTAGATCAAATCTATAGGACTCTTATGATTTTACATGTAATAACCATGGAAGGCTCATCATCACTAAAAAACATACTTTATCACTGCAGGAGGAGGGGAAAAAAAACCCTTTTCTATCAGCCTACCAGAACCGAAATAATTCTTGGAACAAAATCTAAAATCCACTGGCTATAAAAAAGTAGCCAGCAACAGTCCTTGAATCATAATGTAAACCAAATGGTCATCTTACTTAAATTATCCGTACTAAATAAGGTTTCAAAACGATTTTCCAGAGCATATACGGACCAATGCTACCAAATTTTATAATCACAAGTTTAACTGACCAATTAGGATTCTGAGAAATCACGTCATTTGTTTATAGTTTAAAAGAATCTTACTCGTCAAGCTTATTCTTTGCAGAGGATAGGATGCTTAAAAACAAATTTCAAGACATTTTAAAGACTTTCTGGACGTAGCATACCAGGTGCAATTTCTGCTTCTCCTGTAATTGAACAGATCTAAGCAGGTCAGCTAACTCGAGCCTGCTGTGATCAGGATTCCGGAAATCTGACTCAATGTCAATGACCTACAACAAAAGAGAGTCCAGAAAGGGAAAAACTCATAAGGAAACAGGCTCAACGAAGACTAGGACCCAACGAAATGGTATGAAATTGTAAAACAAACTTGTTTAGAGCAATAATTGAACTCCGTCGTGATCTCACTGCAAAGTTGTTGGTAAGATACTTCCCTTCCTGAAGTCATATACTCATCGAAACCCCTGCGAATCAAAAAGAATGGTAAAGACTTCCAAGAATTCCATACCTAGAAGTTTTGCCGCTGAATTCATTTAGGTCTAACACAAATTCTCGAAACTTCATGGAATAACTATGAAAGAAAATGTATCTTAAACATGCTTTAGGACAAAATCTTGCGGTATGAAAGAACTACGACAGAAATACGCCATACTTATCACTCAAGCTATGGAATTCTTCATTGATTTTCGAGAACATTGAAAAAGAATTGAAACGAAAATCAAATGAATGTTACCTCTTAAGCTTGGCATAAGCTTCCGCTCTACGCTGCTGGATTTCAAGAAACTTGCGGAGCAAACCAAGAGTGTTGGAGGGATCGGTGGCCCCGAATTCTTGATCTTCCTCCATCTCCATGGGTTCAGCCAGAGAGAGCTTATTGTCAAAATCTTCCATTCTCGTAATGATTTTTTTTTTCGCTTCGACTTCAGTCTTCAACCTGAAGCTTCTAACTCTATGTCGAGGCGAAGCGAACACTACTAAGGAAGCTTTTAAATGTCGATTTTAATTCGTGGGATCTTAATTTTATAGTAATATAAATGAAAATATCGATAAAATATTATAAATATTTCTGTAAAAATTTAAAATAGTAAAAATATTTAAATTAATAAAATAGATATTATCATATTTTTAAATTAATTAAAAATAATTAATATTAATATTATGTATATATTAATTACAGTTTTCATATTTTGTGGATTTTGTAAATAGTTCTCTTCTTTTTTTATGTTTTGATTCATGACATTGACCATTTACTTTTATTCTTTAAAATATTTGTTTTGAATCTCTTGACATAGGAATTTTTACAAGAAAATTAATTTGATCTTCGGCATAATTTTTCGTATTATATTTATTATAAATCATAAACTATTTAACTAACAACTAATTAAATGCCAACATGATCGAATTGTCTAACATAGAGGTATATCATAACACTCTTTTTTATATCCATGAGTGTCCCGACCAGTTTACGCACACCTCGAATAATCTTATAGAAAACTCAAAGGAAAATAATTCTTAACTAAGCAAAAATCATAAGATTATTAATTTAATTTAGTTCATTTGGACCAATGAGTCACCTACGGTTTTTTTTTGGAGTACACCAATGATTGTTAAGTCACTAAATTTTCAATTATATATCTAGTATGTTTTTTAAAGTTAAAATATTTATTAGATATAAAATAAAATTTTTGAAAAAATATTAAATATTTTGTAAAATTTAAAAATATATGTTGCATTTTTCCATGGGAACCTACACTAAACAGGGTGGGAATCCCATTTAGACTCCTACAGGGCAGATTGGAGACATTTGGTACTGGTCAAGTAAACAAGGATGAAGAATATATTCTCCATTCCCACCCTATTTGATATATATTTTTACTTTACATTTTCTTTTGTTTTGTCTTTTTTTGGTCTGGAATCGGAATTTTGTTCCCTGTATTTTTACTTTCTAAATTTATTAATAAAATATTATGGACTCATTATGATATGTTTACCTTTTAATACTTCTGTGTATGGATAATTGGACCAAAGAGGAAGGTGGCTCAAGAATTTTTCCTTTACATGAGGATTCTGCCTATGGGTTTAACATGTAAATAAAGATTCATCATTAGAAATTAAACATTTAATTAAAAATTTCTTTTAAAATATTATTTAATTGAGAAATTATTTAAAATAATAATAATAATTAAGAAATAATTCCTCGCAAGAATAAACGAAGGCAAGGACAAAGAGGGCTTCTCCATTCCCATCCCGTGAACACCTACATTTATGTGACACCTAAAAATTCAGGAATATTTACAATTTACGTAGATCCATGTCATCTATTAAAATAAGGATAATGTATCAAAAATGGTTGGGATAGCTCAACCAAAGTTCAATCTCAAAAAGTCTCGAGTGGTTAGAAGATTGATACCAAGTGTATAGGATAGCCTTGTGAAAATAGGGAAGCAATTGTTAATCTTCTGGAGTAGTCCTAGTCTGAACAACGTAATAGTAAGTTTCACTGTCGTGAAAAGTGAAAAATGATGCTTTACAGGTGATTAGAATCCTCCGAGGTCAATTGAACAAGTTGTAGAACCAATAATTTAACATATTATGTAACTCTCCATTTTCATTTTAAGGAGTAAGAAATGAGTTCTTCTCTATGAGCTTATAAAACTTCAACTAATAAAAGAGTTAGCCAGCCAGTGATGATTACTACTGCTGCACCAGTCTTCCTGCAGACTCAATCAAATAAAGGCAGTAATCTACAGCAAGATTGTGAAGAGATGAGATGAAAAACCTGTAAATTAGAATTCTGAAAGAATCATTTTGAAGAACAGTGAAAAGTTACAACAAACAGAAGACTTCAATCTAATCTTGTTGGCAAGCTATATCCAGGAACTTTAGCAAGTTGCCTCTGTTTCATAACCTGCCTCACCTTCTGCACCTCTTTCCACAGGCCATTGCTGGCATAAATATTGGACAGAACCACATAAACACCATCATTCCAAGGCTCCAATTCTTGTAAATGTTCTGCTGCCCACTCCCCCATCTGCACATTCCCATGTTTCTCACAGGCCCCAATCAAGCACCCCCATATTACCGAATTCGCCTTCATTGGCATCTCTTCAACTATGTTTCTGGCCTCTTCGAGCAACCCCGCTTTACCGAGTAAATCGACCATGCATCCATAATGTGGCAGCTGTGGCTTGATTGCGTACACACTTTTCATCATGTCAAAGTAGTGTTTTCCCTCTTTGATCATCCCACCATGTACACATGCACTCAGTACCCCGATAAACGTAACGTGATTAGGAGGGGCTCCTGCTTCTCTCATGCACCGGAAGTTCTCGAGGGCTTGTTTCACCTGCCCGTGCATTGCATAACCTACAATCAGCGATGTCCAGGATGATACATTTCTATGATCCATGTTTGAAAATACTTTAAATGCTAAGTCCATCCTACCACATTTTCCATACATGTCTATGAGGGAATTTGACATCAAAATGTCTGATTTTCCGATGACTTTAACTTGGAACACAAATTTGTGCATTTGCAGAGACAATTCTAGGTCCCCTATACTGCCACAAGCTGATGTTACACTAACAATTGTAACATCATCTGGTTCAAGCCCACTTTGTCTTAACCTAATGAACATATCGACTGCCTCTTTAGCACGCCCACCTTGAGATAAACCGGCTATAATGGCATTCCAAGAACCCAACTTTCTGTGATGGTTTTGCTCAAACACCATACGTGCACACTCAAAATCTCCTACCTTGGAATACAGATTGATGAGGCCGCTTTCGCTATATTGGTCGAAGTCAAGACCGAGCCGTAGTGCTACTGAATGCAATTGTAATCCTAAACCAAAAGCATAAACTAATGATAGAGCCTTAAATACAATCGGGAGTGTGTAATAATCAGGCAAAATGCCTGCTCGCAACATGGCGATATATACAAAGAGGGCTTTTCCTGGGGCCTCCAGCCTAGTATATGATCTAATAATGTTGTTCCAGTAAAATGAGGAAGGGTGGTTTTCCAACATGTTGGTTCTTAAAACGTGGGCATGAATTTGATACAATTCTAATAAATTAGTACAATTCAACAATAAGGTTGTGACTGTATTTGCCTGGTCTGCATTGTTGTTGCCGTAAGAGGTGTGCACCAACCAGGTCGAGGACTCTATAGCGACATCTCTCTCTGCAAGCTGCTTGTCTATCTTAGGCTTATCCACAAATTGCACACCGTTAAATTCTATCAGTGGCCTAAACTCATTCGTCTCAAGGTTCTTGGTATTGTATATTGGAGGGGAGTGTCCTGTCCTCATTAACAAGCTTTGTTGTAGTAAGCTCTCCGGAGAGCTGCCAAAATTGGTGAATCTCTTCTTGCTGTTGTCACCGGATACCTGCTTCTTACTTTCCTGACTGAAAACGAGTCTCCCTTCACATTTATCACCTGACACTACATCCTTGTGAATATTGAGGCCTTGGTTTTGAAGCTGAAATGACACAAAACCACCAAACAACCTTAACCTTTCTAAAACTTGTTTAAAAAGTACCTTCTAAATGAAACAATAAACTAAGTAAAAATAAAGAAGTATGAATTAAGTAGATTTGTGAAATAGCTATATTTTGGCAAGTATAAGTTGAAGTTAAAATATTATAGTTGAGAAAATTTTTATTTTTACATGGTTAGCAAGGTCGCAGTTTACCCCAGTCATGGAAATTTGTCTATTAATTTTGAGATTGAAGATTAGCTCAATGAAACTAAGAATTTTGTTCAAAAGACTCCTACCTACCAGACCAAAAGAAAATTGGTATCACCAACAAATTGCAAATGAGCGTCTCTCCCCATCCTGTACCCCTCAACTAAGACACCAGAGTCTTCTCAACATCATTGACATGATGAAAAGGAAAAGGGAAATAGGATCCAAGCCCAGTGGCCTGTTTTAGTCAAGTCTATCCACTCAAAAGCAATTTTTCTGGCTGTTACAACTTCAAGCAGCAGCAGCACCTCTGAGGTAGACAAATTGAGATAAAAACCAATAAGTAAAGCCCTAAGTTTCTCACCGAACAACATTTGGTTGGAGGGGAACACCAATGCTGGCTCGAAAAGCTGCAAAGATATGCCTTTGAATAATACAATCTTGGTTAAGAAAACAAGGCTCTTTCCTTCATAAGTACCATCACTGCCATTTCACTTTCAGATACTTCCAATTAGTCTTCACTGCAACAACTTACAGAACATCCCTTCCTCCAATCGAGCAGACACTCCACGGATATATCGGTGAACCAATAGCTACTAAATTTTAAAGGGCGCGAGATGGGTTCTAGACGACCACCTATGATTCAATTACTTGCTTAAGGAGTATCACTGGAGTACAGGGAGTGGCATTGCAAGAGAATAGAAGACCGCATTTCTTTAAAATGAATGTCAGACAGAAATTCCTAGTACATGAAACTAACATACGCACAAACAAGAGGGAAATAAGAGCACACACCTTGTTCACAGTATCGCAATCGAATTGCCCCGCAGCATACTGGTAAAAACCTCGGCTGGCACGGGAAGCG